ATACAGAATCTAAAATATCTTTTAAAACACACATGCAGAGATCAAGCAAAAGCTCAAGAAGAACATATATAAATATTAACAGTGGTTGTCATTGTATGGTGACACGATATTAAATATACATTAGTTGTATAATGATTTTTTAAATTCAGTGAAACAAAGGGGCTCCTATAAATTACTTTTAATATAAAAATATGAACTGCTTTATTTTTGTTTTATCTTATTTACATTGACGTTGGGAGATATTTTGCTATTTGAACTGTTATATCTCTGCTCCAAGTGAACTAGCTATTGTTTTGGTTTCAAGGCAAGGTCAAATTGATTTATGAAAACTATTTTGAGATTTTGTTTTTAAATCTTGTAGAACATCAAAAAATGGAAGAATTATCAAAAAAATCTCAATTACAAATATGGACAATTGGTTTCCAATGAATATAAAAATTCACACTCTGCTTCAGAACAAGGAATTTCTTACATTTTGGCAACCCCTATAATACCTTACAGGATCTCTTCCCAGAGTCATTTCTGCAAGTGGAGCCAGAGGACAAAGGTGACTCTGGCAACCCTGGGTAGTAGTGTGATTAATGTTTTGCTCTCCCAGATCCTGCTCTGGGCTGGTTCTGACAGAGTAAGAGAAAGACTTGCCTCTGCTTCATGGGGACTTAATATTTGCATATGATCCAAGATTCATTCATCTTTATGCTGGGTCCCAGGTCCGAGGTGCTGTCCTACTTGATGAAACAAGCCACCTGTCCTTTTTTTCCTAAGCCCCAACTCAAGAATGCCTTGACAGAAACTCATATCCTCTCAATTTTAATAGTGTGAAGCCATCATGAACTTTCAAGTGGCTTGTTGCAAGCACTGGGGTCTGAGGCTGGAAATGGTCAGGTATGGATGCTACAGGAGTCTTTCTACTAATTCATCTACCTCCCTGGGCCAATTACTTCCACTCTTTTTGTTGAGATGTAATTTCTTTCTATGTGAAAGGAGAATGGAAACCAGCTGATGACAGTACCCTTCATACTGAAGTATGATTATGAGTTTCTAATGCTTGAAAAAGCTTGAAATAGCTCATCAAACTTTAATTTACAAAGAAAAATGCAAACATATTCAATTCCAGTAAACTGCTGGACAAATCCTGCCCTCCTTTCCCCTTTATCCTTTAGACCTCTTGAGCATAAAGCTTACTCTGTAATTCAACAAAGTAAGTTGAAATATCTCCAAAGCGATAATGAAGCTACAAATATCTTGACCATATAATGTATGCTAACACTATTAATTAGATTTTTTTTTAAAAAAATAAGCAGATATTTATTCCATTTTGCACAGTATCATGTAATATACATAGCCTGGACCTAACATAATTTTATTTATTTATTTATTTATTTTGGTACTGAGGATTGAACTCGGGACCTTGCACTTGCAAGGCAGGCAGTGGAACCACTGAGCTAAATCCCCAGCCCCAATTGTATTTATTTCTCTTGTAAGATGCTCATCTTTATAACATTCATTTAATTATATATTAATGATTAAAACTTGCTACTAAATATGCATTATCCTTTTTCCTACTAACACATGTTATTTGTCAGATGACATTTTGGATATTAACTTGCCCATACTTCCGTATCTGTGACTTTAAAAAAATTCTTCTATAAAATAATGTAACTTGGGGAGCAAAGCAAAAACCGCTAAGTCTACTTCTGACAGCATAAACCAATGGGAAGCATCTAGAGGGTGGACCAGCCCTCTCGGAGGGATGCCAGCCTCAGAACCTTCCTGTGATCACTGTGCGCATACGCAGCTGCACTGCTGCCCACTTCCCATTTTGAGCTTGACATTTTATGACTCATCTGTCTGGTTATTGGAGATAAAGTCTTCAGTGTAGATTTTTTAAGAGTGCATGTAGGAACAATCACAATAGTATCAATAGTATTACAGTAATCAGATTTAGGCAGAGGTAAAAGTTATTTCAAAATGTATCAAAGATATAAGTGTAAGAGCTAAAGATATAAAAAATTTAGAAAAAAATAAGACTAAACTTCCTAATTTCAGGTTAGGCCATGATGTTTTAGGTGTGACATCAAAAGCACAGCAAGCAAATAAAAATTAAGTTTTATTTTGTTAAAATTAAAAATATTTTCATTTAAGAAAATCATCAGGAATTAAGTGTAATGACATACAATAGTATAGGAGAAAGCATTTCCACATCATATCTGGTAAAACCTTATAGGAAGAATGCATAAGGAACACTTGCAACTCAACAGAAAGAAGATCCCAATTCAAAAAACATTAATTCAATGTTTAAACAGACATTTTTCCATAAAAGATATATAAATGGCCAATAAGCACATGTAAAAAAAAAAACGCTCAGTATGACTGTTATTGGGGAAATGAAGTCAGATGCCAAAGAAAACCACTGCATACTCACTAGGAGAGCCAGAATCACAAAGACAAACACAGCAGATACTGACAAAGCTATGAAAAAAATCAGAACTCTCATATATAGCTGCTGAAAATTAAAAATGGTGCAGCTCCTTAGGAAAAAGAAAAACACTTTGAACATTCTTTATACTGATAAACCTACCATGTAACCCAGCAACTCCAATCTCTAGTTGTATTCCAAAGAGAATTAAAATCAAATTTCCACATAAAAAATTGTACACGAATCTTTAAAATACTATTTTATAAAAGATAAAATGAAAAAAGAAGTCAGATGTCCATGAATTCATGGAAAGATTAATAAACTATGGTGTGTCTATACAATGAACTATTTGACAATCAAAGGAATGAAACACTGATATATACTACAACAGGAATGAACTTTGAAAACACTATATTGAGTGAGAGAAGCCTGACATGAAAGGTTATATAGTATATAATTCCATATATACTAAATACTCGAAACAAGCAAATGCAGAAACCGAGGGTAATAGATTAATGACTGCTAGAAGAATAGAAATGAATGGAGACGACTACTAATGGTATTGATTTTTTTTCAGGGGGAAGTGATGAAAATGTTCTGAATTAATGACAACTTTGTGAGCATACTAAAACTGAGCAAGCTTTACACATTAAAAGGACATATTTTATGATATGTGAACTCTATATTGATGTATGCTTTGATCCATAAACATGCAACATTTTTAATCATAAAAATAATTTCATTGGGCTTATTATAAAATTTAAAAAACATAAGTAAATAAATAAATAGAAACAAAAAATAAAAACTAAAAAGAGGGGGAAAAAAACCAAAGGAAGATAAGACAAAAGAAGCCCTGGGCCCGGGAGCAATGGAAATGTAACGCAGGTGGAATATGGAGCACAGCCAGGTCCTGGGCTTTTCCTGAAGACAGAACTGCTTGGCAAAAGGACAAGGGACTGAGCCCTGTACCCACCAGCTGTGGGATGGTGCTCACCCCTGCCAGCTCTCCTCAGTCAAGAGAATTCTTGGAGTTGGCTTAACCCAAGAGCTGGCAGTGGACAGCAGCCAGCCTTTCCAGGATGCACATTTACGGACAAAGGTTGATGATGGCCCATACTCCTCACCTGTCATCTGCCTCCCCACCTCCTCTCTCAGCTCTATTACCCCAAGACTCCACTCTGACACTGTGTTATCATAATCCTGACACTGGACAGATATGTTAAGTAAATAAACAATGCTTCTTTGATTTGTTGCCACTTCAGAATCCCATATCCTATCTCCAAAGCCTACCCCTGTTTTGTCAGGAGAATTTTTCTAAACCACTTTCAAAGCAGCCAGACTCTACAGATGTTCATTTTTTCATTTCAGTGATTTTACATCTCCTAACCTACTAGTCCTGCAGGTACTGGAGAAACACCATTTGCTGTTGTCATCTGTCCTCAGTTAGCACTGCCCTAAGGAGAGTATTGCCATTCTTGGCTCTCACAGGAGAAAAATAAACAAGAATGGCAGTTTATTACATAAATACACATCAGAAGAGTGAGTGAAAAAAAGAAAATACCCAGAGGATCTCCGTGACAGGGGAGAAAAAGGAGAAGTGGAATAAATAATGATGCTAGCATATAGGCCAGGTAAACTAGGAATCTGAATTTTCCAACCAGCCTATTCAGTCACTGTGTGGTTGACAGCACTTAGGATAGTAAGTAGCTTATTCAACCTCACTCCACTGTCACAAATACCAGAGACTCAGAACAAGAAGAGACCTTTATCAGTCAGTGAGGCTAGGCCAGGGCTTTTAGAAAAATAGGCTGCATGGTGAATACATCTGCAAAATGCTAGCATACTCTCCACTCTTCATGAATTAGGCCCCTTCCCATCTACCGAGAATGTGTGCTTCCCATTTTTAGCCCACCACAGGTCACCTCTCGAAATCTCACCTGCAACTGTCCCACAAACCAATCATGTGGGGCAAATTCTGAACCCCACAGATCCTTCAAGGAGGAAAGCTGGGTAAAAGCCATGGCACTGTGGGATTGAGATGAGCTATGTCCTTCTGCTTTTAGGACGTGGCCCCGCTGGCCCAAGCCTCCATCCCCGATGAGCAGTCCCTGAGGGACTGCTGACAGATGACATTGATTTGTTGCGTATCAACTCAAGATTTCTCCATTCCGTATTCCAGGAAGTCATTTTAAATGTGCTTCAACACCTCCTCCTCTCAGCTTCCAGGAGTTGCCCTGTACTCTAGATATGTTTGGATTCAGACTTTGGAGAGTGGAGCTGAAGCATAGTCCCTCCTTATTCACAGGGCAGGTGTTCCTGCTGGACTGTCCTCTGAACACGTCCTGGAGAATTTCCATTGTAAATCCAGATTACACTGATATACACTAGTCAGTTACATTGTGTTTTAAGGAGAGTAAAACTCTCTGTTTTGGCCCTCAGGTCTCTGTTGACTTCCATGATTGCAGAGAAACAAAGAACAAACTGACTATCACTATAGTTATAAAATTTCAGACTGCCTTTTGGAAGCCTATCTAGCTGGTGGGAAGAAAAAGTAGTAATTAATCTTTTTATAACATTTCAGGACAGCAATTGTTTATATTGAGAAAGGAAGCAGGGAGACATACTATACCTTCACTATCATCAGATCTTTCATGCATTTTGCCATATGTCAGCCTCACAACAAAGGTGAGTGTAAGTTGTTATTATCTCCATCTTCGAATGGGAAACCTTAGTCTGGAAAGCTAAATGACTTGCTTAGCTCCTTGCAGATATTAATGCAATATTGCAATTCTTACATAGAATCCTTAGACTCTCAGATTTTTATTCCATTCATATCACAGGGCTGGTTTTCTAAGTAGGCTTACATATAGCTATCATCTGGTGTGTTTACTAAGTTTATAGATTCCCAGACTGTTTCCTCCAAACTGATTCTGCGAGGCCTTGGAAGGAGCCCAGGAATTTGAAATGTTTTTCAAGTTAAATATAACCATGTTACTGAGCCAGACCATGTTTCTATCCATTGCCTTCCAGGTGACAAGGGTTTCTTAGTTAGGAATTGGCTCTAAATATCTTATGCAGAAGCAAGATGACACTGGAGGCAGTCTGGAGGTGGAATTGGAGACAAAGTATCAGCAGTAGAGACACCCGTCCAAGAATCTTTCTAATGTGCAGTTAGGAGGGAATGAAATCATGTACTTACAGAAAAGCAGTAAGCTGGAAAAGGCAAGAGAGGAACACTTTAAGGCAGATGGAGGACATGAGAGGACAAATAGGGCAGTTGTTGTGTATGGCTCTGAGTTGGGCTGTATTCTCATCACAACCCCTGGGTTCCCTTCACTCAGGTACGGCCTGGGCCCTTTTGACGGGGATAATACTTGAAATAAAATGAGGTCATGGAACAAGTGGAGAGGAATGGGAAATAAATGCCTTACTTGAATAGGAAAGTGACATTTGAGCCATTTTTAAGATTTTCTCAGTCTTTGAAAGTTTTTTTAATTGCTGTCCTTCTTAACATGCACTACATACTGTTTTTGATCTTGTAGCTGCAAAGTGCTGGAAAAAAAAACAACACAAAGCTGAACTGAAGCAAAAGAAAACTCCCCTTATTTCATCATTTTATCTGTTCTCTAATGAGAAACCTCAGAAAAAGATTAAAAGAAAGGTCACCTTTTATTGAGCAGAAGGAAATGTATGCAGATAGTTGATATTCTGGACTGCTTATAAAATGAACTCAAATCTGGAGCCATCAACCTCAGTAATAACTCATTTCTTACAATAAGCGGACAATGGCTGACGAGTAGTGGAGAACATTTAACTTATGGAACATCTGCTATGCTTGGTGTTGGTACAATTTGGTTGTTTTAAAGAACATTGATCTAAATTGAGAAACAATTTCAACTGATTATGAGAAAAACTGGGAGATGCACTTAAACTGAGCTTATCTATGTCTTCCTAGATAAGGTCCAAGGAAAAAATTTCAAGGCACACATGCTATTCTAAATGGATAATACCAGTATTAGAGATCCAGGTTATAAAATATGCAGGGAGACAATCACAGCACATTTCTGTTTTAAATAAAGGCCAAGAGCTCCAGGGCAAATATGAAGAGAAGGATAAGTAAAATGAAAGAATAGCTAAAGTTTTTTAGGACTCTACATAGATTAGACATTGTCATGTGCAGTACCTTGGGTCACAAATGCTTTTGGGTCATGAACAAAAGCATTTGGCAAATTTTTGTTTTTGTTTACAAACTCTACATTGGGTGACAAACCCACGAGCGTGGCCATCTTTTCCAAAGTCATGGGGCAAATGAAGTTTGTGAATTGAGGTACTACAGTACTTATTTTATCTAATTCTCACAGCAGTCCTAAGACATAGGGTTCAAAGATGGACCAGCTAAGTCTTAGAATTTACAACTTGTCTTTTTTACACAACAATAACTGCTGAATCAAGATTCTAAGTTGTTAATTTAATAAGTGGTACCAACTCTTCAGAGAAGAATTATCCCAGCCTTCTCTGCTACTCAAGCAGCTCCTCTTCCAATTGTTGCCTTTTCATTCACATTATTCTTCTCCAAAGCCATCCTCTAGCTAGACTCACAAAATCCTTCTCCCACCTGTGGAACAGTTCTGGACCCAGAGTACAATGTGTGTCACAAACAATAAAAATAATTATAATAGTTTTTTTAGAGTTTATAAAATGCTTCCAGTTCCATTGTCTCATTTGTTATATCACCTCATTAAATGTTCGTAAGAACCCTGGATAAATTTTATGATGTTTTACTGTGAACATTATATCATCCTGTAATAGATGCTTTCTCCTTCCTGTTACTCCTGAGGAATGAATTATCAGAGAGGATATAATAATCATCATTGGCACAAGCTTCCATTGTTGGAAAATTGCATTTGGCTTTGAGGCTTCTCATAGGGTCCACACTCAATATATACTTGATGAATGAGTAAATGAATAAGTTAATATTGAAATAAGGCTTTCTAACTCCAAACTTTCCACCATGCCATTCAGGATGATTTATTTGACACTGTTATCATGTTTGTTTTGCTCATGAAGTCTTATTTCAGCATGGTTTATATTGTTTTCATTTTGCAACATCTCACAATTAGTTTCAGTGAGTGTCAAACTCATTAGCTGAGTCAGAGAGAGAAAAAAATACCTAGTCTAGTTTTAATAGGACTAAGTTCTCCATTACTGATGATAAAAAATTAATGGTGGCTTCAAACAAGGCTAATCTTAAAAACTTCATGTTCCAAATGATCCCAGTTACAAAATATTTCTTAATTATTCTCTTGTAAAACTTTCATAAGGTAATTACCATGATAATTTAGAATTTAAAAATCATTAAAATATATCTACTGTTTTCAAAGTAAATAGCATGTGGTTAGAAGAGGTCAACAAAAGATGTCTGTCCAAGATAGAAATTTAATTTCAAATGCATCTGTATGAACAAGCAAATGTGTTTAACATTTAAAGCAATAAGTAGGCCTGAAAGAAACCTGAATTTCCAAATGCCAGATTGGTCAGGGCAAGGCTACACGATCGAGGTGGGCTGGAAGACAGGAGATATTTCCCAATTCCTCCTTCATGAGAATCTTAGGATTTTATTCAGAGTTCATACATAATTTGAATTTCAGCAAACTAGTCAATATTGTTGGATTTCACTTTTCAGAGCTCTTACATGATAAGTTTGCTCTTAAAACTTATAGACTGGGGCATAGCCAGTGAGTAGAAGAGATAGAAAGGATAACCAGGAAGGAAAAACTTCCAAACACCTTCATGAGTCAGGAGAGGCTATTACTTGGAAAACCAGAATTAAAATTGCAGAATTAAAAGGAAAGAAACAAATGCACAATGCAAAATCCAAGTTTAGAGCAATTTTTAATCAGTATAGAAAACAGGAAAAAAAAGTATTTAAAATTAAAACTGTTTAAGATGTATTTTACACCAGAAAGAAGTACATTTTCATTTACAAACTTGCTTTATTGTTGTCTAGTAAAGTTCTTACTTAAGAAAATACCTAGCTTGCCACACAAATTGGCAATTTTTCAGAGAGAATAAGGACTGCAACAAAGATATTACATAAATCTACCTGCTGGAAAAAGAAGACTCTTGAGATTTCCAGGGCATAGGGAATTGAGTTCAGAAGCTCATGACACTAGAAGAGGAATGAAAAGATAAAAAAGTATTCCTATGTAGGAACATGGAGAACAGCCCATGGAGAAAAACCAGGAAGAGAGAATTTAGTTTAAAGCTGGGTAGTTACAGAGCGAGAGAGAGAGCGAGAGAGAGAGAGAGAGAGAGAGAGAGAGAGAGAGAGAGAGAGAGAGAGA